ATTTCATCTTTATGCCAGTGGCTAAAACATTCCTTAAAGTAATTCCCAGTCACTGAAAGTGTATTAACTGACCAATGGAGATAAGAATAGTGGAACTACAATGAGGAAAGCTTTGTTTAAAAGGATTTGGGAAGCTCAATGTCCATAATCAAGATTTCAACACACAAGTCTGCATTTTTAAGGCAATATATCCATAAGTAGAAACAGGCATATGGGGGAAAACATTAGTTTCAGAGGTCTGGCCAGCTCCTGTTCTAACCCCTCTGTCATCTCTGATTGGATTAGACATCACAGAAAGAGCCTCAGATCCCAGTTTCATGTGAAGTTTAACCCTTCCAACAGTTGAATACCATCCTGTGGAGCTCAGTGGAAAGAAATTAAATTTCTCTCACCAGAGCTCTGGCCCTAAATCAGGTGTCAAGGGGGCTGCATCAGTAAACTTTGTTGGCTATAAGATGCATGTCCTTCCCGAGGCTCTGCGGCTGTTAAGTTGGCTCTTTCCAATCACAGTCTGATCTTTCATTTTACTGTAATGCAGTTAGACAACCTAGTTATTCAGGCATAGACTACTCTGGTTTTCATTATCCCTGAATAACATTTGATGCTGAAATAGGGAAGACGGAAAGGGAAGGGGGAGGGGAGCCAAGTATTTTTCACAGCTTGTGTGAAATGCTTAATATTTGAGAGCCTCTAAAATCTACTGTACACATACATTCCAATTTTATAAGACTAACAAAACATGTTCAAAACTTTTATGAATTTCAACATGTAACCAGAATCAATGTTAGCCTGTTTTAAATAAGCCATAATGGCCTGGCAGCAAACCTGCATAGTTAGCAAATCCCTCCCCTGTTTATGAGCAGCCAGCCATTCCTCACAGGGTCACTACAAAATACTAGTTTTATCAGTTTATTCAAACTCCCTAAGTCAGTCTGTGTGCCAATTTCAGCATGTTTTTGCTTAGAAGCACATGAAACCAAGGACATCATAGTGAGATAATACTTTATTTTGCTTTTAACAAAATGGCATGAATTTGAATCACTTAGGAATATGTCAAGGGCTCTCAAATCTAATGGTGGATGCTTGGTTCTATAAATGCTTTCTGCAAGTGTTATAGGCACCCTGTTACACAAGCATAGGTGTTGCAGGATGACCCTTTCCTACTGGTGCCTGGAGAGTTCTCAGTGTCCATAAGATGCTTTTTTACTTCCGTGAAATCTCCCAGTGATGCTTTTTAGGTGAGAATCACCTTTCAGTAAAAGTCTGAGCATAAAATTTGCTGGGGGCACACCCAGTTTCAGTCTGTCATCTGTCCTGTGTCTAATGTATCAGGAACAGTTTTTTTTCTGAAAGGTGAGGGCCATGTGTTTTCACATCCCACATTTCAAGGAAGCCTGCTAGCTCCCTTGATAAAATCACACCTTATTTTCCAAGAATGGCTGGGGAGAAAGACATTCCAAGTGATAAAAAGCCGTTGTAATGCAAACTCTTTTGCCTAAAGATTCACCTTGGCCTCACAATCCCTCAGGGATCATCTACCACATACCAAACTAGCTTCAGGGGACACCCAGCCCCCTTTGCACTCTGTCCTCAAAAGTGCCTTTAATTACAAATAATGCAGCAGAGAACAGGCTAGAGCATTAAAACAAGACTGATCTAAAGGCTGTGGGCCAAAGAATTGTCACAGAGGGTAACATGTAATTAGGAAATCTGACTCACAAGATAATGTTTACTCACTTTCATTGTGGGGACCCAGAGGGCTACCTCCCTCATCAGTGTTCTGTCCTTGCAGTGGTTATCACTCCTAAGCCCAGCCTCTGGGGGGCCTTCAGTCAGGCTCTGATCTTCTGGAAGCAGGCCGCAAAGTCTCCCAGATAGAGGCAGTTTTCTTTCTCTTTGTCTTAGAAAACTGTCCCCCAAAGCATCCTACTTAACATTTAAAGCCCACTACACATCCATTGAAAGCTTGCATTTTGTACATTTTTATACCTGCTTTCTCGCCTTTTGAGATATGAAATATATAAGTAGAACCACTTATGGGGGCGTGTAAAACTCCCTTATACTTACCTTAGTTGTTCATTGTGTCTAGGGTAGGTGGTCAAGTTTAAGCCCTTATTTGTGATCATGATTTTATAACCTCTATTTATATTCCCTCTCAGTCAATGACATCCCCAGAGATGTCAGCGCTCATGCAGGAAAACCCATTTAATTAGGACCCACCATAGGGAACCAGGAAACAGATCCTAAAGTACTTTATGGTAGAAACTGTTGATCAGGAAATGGGATGTTTTTCTTTCCCTCCGTTTAGGTCTGGCTTGAACTCCTTTGGGGAGACCTGGGGCCTGTCTCCATCTCCACTGAAAGGGAGCCTGGACCCTTCCTCCAATCAGCCTACCCAGAGGGCAGTGATAGTGATACTTGCTTTTTTTGTTGTTGTTGTTTATTTGTTGTTCTCTTTCCACAGATGTAAGTGGCAGACCTTTAATCCCGGAAGCTCTGCCCAAGGCATGGCATTTGGACATTTGCCAGTGTCTGGTGTGTGTAGGGCCTCCTAGCCACACTGCCGGCCCCTTTGCTAGAGAGCAAATTCTCAGTTTTTCATGTAGGCAAACCTTGCCTACCTCTGATGCGCACGTTTTTCAGTTGGGAAGGAGGGGAACTAATTCAATAAATGTTTTTGTTGAAAATGAATCCAGCCCTTGATATCCTCATGCTCAACTAAAGTTCTTCCTCTAATGAAGCCTTCCCCAGCAAGAGTGGTCTTTCTTTCCATTAAGTCATAGCCTTTCCTGTATACCGTCTTCTAGTCACAGCGTTGACGGTTTTATTTTTAATTAGTGCTTTTTACCTGGATGTTTCTAGCTTCATTTAACTAGGACCACATCTTCTAGTTCATTATTTTCCCCATGGCACTCAATCATTTATAAACTTTGTTAATTTTCCTCACAGTGCCTTACTTGCAATGGTGTTCAATTATAACTTTTTACTAAGTCTGTTTGAAAAGAAATATGCTTTTAGTCCATAAATCACTGTGCTGAATGCTTCAAGAGGCACAGAAAGTGTAAATGAGACACCTGCCTTCAAGGAATTTACAGTTAAGGGAGTAGTAGGGGAGTGTGGCAGAGCTCCATGAAAAGTCAACTTACAATGCAATTTCATACAGGATCTGTGCCCCCAAGAAGATGAGAGCCTGTGGTCATGATGATGAGAATTTACATACAGTTTTGCACTCCCCATAACAACTCTGTAGAGTAATTGGCACTAAGTATTCTTATTCCAGTTCCCTTGGCTGCTGAGTAAGGAGAAGTGATTTGTCTACTGCAGAGGGTAGGGAGTGCTGGAATTCAGACAACTTGTGTGAGGCCTGCACTGGGTTTCAGTGACTCAGAGCCTCTCCCCTGGCTTCTGTCTTGTTGCTTCTATGCCCTGCTTAATACCAGTCCTGTAACTATATTAAGGTTAACCAGATTGCTCACTGCTATTAAATAAGATCAGAGACAGGGCCTTTTGACCAGAGATGACACTCTGGTGTTTGAATCATAAAAGAATTGTCCAGACAGCTAATCCCTACAAATTCGAGTAAATTAAAGGCATCACATGTGGATAATTTGTTATAGTGGCATAAAAGTACATGTAAATTTTTTAAGGCATGTGCTGAGTAGACTGTTCCCAGAGATTTTAAAGGAGAGATGATATTCCCATTGGGTATAGATATTCTCTGACCGATGAGGTCAGAGTAAATGACCTCCTAGTGCACTCAGACTGTAGTATGTCCATCTGTATTATCAGTAACTGTAGTAAAAGGCATGGGTTTGGAATTCTGACTGTACACCCTGTAAGCTTTGTAACCTTCAGCTGGTTAAATTCTCAGAGCCTCGTTCCTCACTGGCAAAATGAGCATGATGCCTGTCTTAAAAAGTTGTTGCAGTGATTAAACCAGTATCTGACAGTGCTCAACAAGCTGTGGTGAACATACTATTCTGTCCTTCCCAAGCCATAGAATGTATATTAACATTCAGAGCTGGAGACCCTGGAACTTTTGCTCCCAAAGGGGAGCCATTTAAATGAGTTGAAATTAGCTTTCCCTTCTTTCAGGGAGACAGTTGAGTCTTTTCTGGATTCCTTATATGTCACTGAGGATATGCTATTTGGATAAAGTCCACCTGTTTTGACCTCTGGAAAGAAATTGCTGTTTAAGTACACAATTCATTTTGATCTCTTCACACCCTTGGGCAGTTCCAGGCTGGCTCTAGGCCTCTGAGAACGTTGGTGTCCTCTCTGTAGAAAACATTTCTTTCCAGTGACTCAGTAGTTTCTTATTCCTTTCCCAACCATATTTTTCTGTTTCCGATAGTAGATCAGTGAGGGTGGCCTAGCCAGCATTAGCCCAATGTAGATAGACCCCTAGATATCTGTTCTCTCATCTAAAGAAAGGCAGGTGTACTAAGAGTGCTTCCCCCATCCCAGAGAGGGAAATAACAGACGAGGAAGGCAGAAATCCAGTTGAAGGAGGTGTCTCCAGAAGCCGCTTTCCCATCCACCATCACTTCCTCGAGATTAAGCCAAGCTTGAGTGTCTTCTTCAAGGTCAGGCTCCCTGGAAGCCTTGGAACCTGGCCAGAGGCTGTGAACTTTGCAAAGAGGGCATCACCCTCTGCTCACTGGATCACTGCCCTCCCATTACTCCACCAGCACATACCTGATTTGGTTGACATTTCCGTAATTAATTTATAATAGCAATAACCCTGAGATGAGCCTATTTATAGGTTTGTACAAGTTGGGTTAAGAATATAGATTAAATCTTTGGTCATTAACATACTTAACGTACTTGGGAGAGTTTTGTGATTGTCAAATGATTATTGAAAGGCCCCAAGCATAGTGTGTACTGGCAATCCACAAGTTTACTTCCCTTCCCAAGCACAGAAACAACAAAATACCAACAATAGTAATAATAAGCATATACCTCTCCCAACCACACAAAAAATGTTTCTTTACCTTACTGCTTCCTTTGCTACCTTCCTCCAAACTTGACCCAGATTCAGAGCGATGGTCTGGATGCTCGGCAGCCCCTGCTGTACAGCATGAAGATCCCTGAGATGCGGTCCTAACCCTTGATAAAATAGCAAGTGTGGCCCCAATAGTCCTGCAGGGAGAATTGCTGTGACCGCCTACAGCAATGGAGATGAGGGTGTGAGAAGGGCAACCTTTATTTGAAAGGATGTTATTATGACTTGGACTGCTCTGTGGATCCAATCTTATTTCTTTCTTCCTTTTTATGTTCTGTTGTTTTCGCCGTTACCTTTTTGAAAAATAACATGTATTGCTTTTCTGTAAAGTAAGACGTTTTCAATATCAAAAATAAAGATAAGTACAGAGAAGAAAATAATTCCACCCCTTTCTCACCCTCTCCCCTTCCCCCCAAAAAGCCACTAAATTTCTGTATGTATCCTTCAAAGAGCTTTTATTCTGACATCACTAGCAGCACTGCTCTCTGGTCAGGGAAGCCTCCCATTCGGATACTTTCTCTGATAGATGTGTTTCCTATTGTGGAGAGCATTGCATGCCCCGGGGATGAGAATGCACCAGCAGTAAGGAAACACAGTGACTCCCTGCCTGTCTTCCAGGAGCCTTCTCAAAATAACACCATCAAAAGGTGCTTCCCCCTCTCTTTTCTCTAAATTCACCTTGCCTGGTTTATTCTTTGCTCACCTGTGTATGCAGCTGTGATGACCCCACCGTGTCAGCCACCCCTTCCTTCCTTTCTTGAGTCCTTCATATCACCCTCCAGCACAGCAGATGCTTCTTACTAATTTCTTGCTTTCACTCTAGTTTTTGTTTTTAGTATCAATCTGGCTACCAAACCCTTAAAAGTGAAGTCAGGTCAATCTGGGTGCATCTTCATAAATGATCATATATATGTACACAGATTTCTTGTGTTTTTTTAATGAATTTACAAATGGTAGGATTTTTAAAGGTAGAGATTAGATATTATGTTACAAAACCCTTAACAGGACATTGCATATTATAAGTATTTGGTTAATATTTACTGAATTAAAATGAAAATGAGAAAATTTAATTACTCCAACCTACTTTTTTAATCTCAATAAAGTACAGATAAAAGGGAGGTCATCTAGAAATGAAAAAATAGTATCTTGTAACAGTTTTTATGGTATATCAGTGCATTTTTTTGTGCTAAAGTATCACTATTAACCTAAGAGTGGACCCTTTTTAATGATTTTTTTAAATCTTGACAATGCCCTTTTCACTTCTTTCCTAAATGAACATTAATATAAAGCCATAAAAATTCCCTTGGAGGGTTTTATGAATTACTGCATTGTAAGATTGGGAAAAGGCCATTTGCAGCCATTTGTTTTATGGAGCTTGATTCTGAAAGCCAGCACCGCCCTGACCCTTCAGGGGCATGCTCTGAGGCATGAAGCTTTCCTTGACTACAGTGAGCCCTGACACTTCTCTCCAAACTCACCTCTCACATGTCCCACACATGACTTCCCCACAGTCAAAAAGGTCAGCCACGGGCCTCCCCAGTGGCGCAGCGGTTGAGCGCTGGGTTGCGAAGCTACCCGCAACCTCTGCAGCGCCGGTTTGATCCCCGGCTGCTCCCCGGCCACCAGAGGAAGGTCCCACATGGTGCGCAGACCTCTCCTGCCACCCGTTGCTCCCCTCAGCAGTGTACTTCGGTCCTTCTGCCTGCTCTGCTCTCCCCTCTGGCTCTGGTGAATTCTCTCACCCTCCCGCGCTTTTGACTGTACCCAGTGCTTGTATAAATAAATAAATAAATCTTAAATAAATAAATAAATATTAAAAAAAAAATGGTCAGCCACATAAGCCTCCTCTCCATGAGAATCCTAGGCACATGGGGGGAGAGGAGTAGAAGCTAATAGAGATACATGGAATACTTCTTCCAGAAATGTAGATTGATTTTCAGTTCACTGGCATAAATCACATTTTACCATATGACTCTTTGGTCATTTACTGCTTGAAAAAAAGACCATGCCGAAGATGAGACACCTAATCTAGGGCATTGGTTTTCAAACTCTCTGTACCTGCTAAACTCTTCTTCCATTTATTTTGGACATAAAATGGAAGCCTAGTCTATAAAACAGAGATGGGGGTTGGTGGGCCCAGAGCATCCCCTCAGCATGCTGACCCTAAATTAGCTTTGTGCAGCCCACTTTGAAAGCCTCTGGGTCTGGACAAACCAAGATGTAAGAGAATAAAAGGTAAGCATAGGGCAGAAGGGTGGAGTAAAGATGAAAAAATAAGAGTTTACTCCGTTGAGTCCTTCCTATGTGTCAAGTACCATGCTAAGCACTAACTTTCCTCAAAAAAAAAAAAAAAAAAAAAAAAAGTCAAATCGTGATGTCTGAGGCAGAGTTTGTAGGATGTTGTTGTCCGAAAACAGTTGAAACGGTTATTGGATTGTTTGCTTGCAGGCAGACAACAGCCAGATTCTCTTGAAAGATCTCTTTCTCACTACAGTTGTCTGTAGCCTCCAATGCTCTGTTGGAATGAGTCTTTTTTAAGTGAGATCAAGAAAAAAGTAAGCAGAACAAATTAAGTCCTTTGATCCAGGTATGTAAGTCAGGTCACCAGGTGCACTGAGTTGCATTTAAGTGGAATACAGGTACCACGGTAGATAAGGCTAATTCAGAACTTTGAGATAAAAGTAGCTCAGAAAAAAAAGATCAAATAACAAGGTATGTGCCTTTGCCAGGTGAGTCAATTCCATGGTGATATCTGTGGAGACTTGTTTTGACAGCTCATAAAATCACAGAACAGAGCAAACGCTTTAGGCTCACCTCATCAGAATCTTCGCATCATTTTGGGCAGATGACTCTCTGAACTAACCCTGATGAGAGACCCACTTCAGTGTTGCCATCTTCATTTCCTGGGCTTCTGTGAATGATGGAGATGATGAATACAGGTGGTTCTTGTACCTGCAGAGCATCTATCTGCCAGTCAGGTAGTTGGTCACTCCACAGCCCTACTTTTTGATGAGCACACAACTTGGTTCCATGTGGAAGGAAGGGGGCAGTGGGGAGGTGTGGTGAGCAGTAGCAGTGGAAGCTCGGGGAATTTCATCAAGTCGGGAGATTAGACAGACATAGGAAAACATAATGAACTATCAGTAGGAGCTTAGGCACACAGTGAAGATAATTTCTGGGGTGATCAGAGAAGAGTTGCAGTAATTGAGCATCCTCCAAGGTTGGTGGGATTTTGGTAGCTCATTTGGGGCGAAGGTAGTCTTTGTGGTGAGAACTGCTGAGGAATGACTGGGCAGTGGGAAGGTGAGACTTGTCCTTTTTTGTTTGTTTAAAGATATATTTATTTATACAAGAGCTGGGGTACAGGTCAGAAGCACAGGAAGGTGAGAGTATTCACCAGAGAAAGAGCAGGGAGCAGAACAGGCAGACGGACCAAAAGCACTGCTGAGGGGAGCAGCGGGCAAGACAGGAGAGGTCTGCCGCGCCATGTGGGTATCTCCCTGGCCAGCCTGGAATCGAACCCGCACTGCAGAGGCTGCGGACAGCTTCACAGCTCTGCACTCAACCCGCTGCACCGCTGGGGAGGCCAAAGACTTGTTCTTTTTGCCACCACACATGTGTCTCGGTTGTGAGGTGTGCTTCTTGTAGAGTAGCTGGATCGTGCTGAAGAACATCAGGAAGGTCACACCAGGCAAGTTGGATTATGCCAGATGTTGAATGTTTGGCTAGAAATTTGAAATTCAGAGGCTTTAAGATATTTTTGAGCAGAGAAAGGACACATGGGAAGCAGTTAATCAGGTACAGCTATCAAGTCAGATAAAAAATTGAGGGCTTATGATTTATCTATCAGATGACAGATTTGTTTAGAAAACACAGTGTGAGAAACCCAAAGGAACAAGGTTCTTTCTTCTAGAACCCTAGCCAAGGAGAGATGAAGAATTCATTTTCATTTAATACGTATTTTCTGACATGAATAAAGGCCTCACACATCATGTGTCCGTGGTCCTAGCAAACTTAACAAAAGCAAATGACACGTCTATGGAATATCTCTTGCAGCACCCTCACTTTCTGAAAGCTGATGCTGAAATCAAAGGGGTAGTTCCTGCCTTGTCATTCCCCCAAGGTGCCTCATATTCAACACATTCCCTTCGGGTCCAGTTCACACATCTCGCACTGGCCCATTTAACCGAGCTGGGTCTGTTGCAGACCTTCAGATATTTAATTTGTAAACACTTAATAAAGCACTGTCAGTAGGTCGGCTTGTCTACTAGGTCGGCCACATCAAAATCAATACGTCCCTTGGGTGTTCTGCTGTGATTGTCTGGGCTGGGGAATCTAATAGGATTAAGTGTTTGGGGTCCTATCTGACGCCACAGTCCACAGTCCTAGTTAGATGAGGTTAAAGACTGGCTTGCCATTGTGGAGGCACGATTGCTTAGGGGTCTGAAAAATCATTAAAGCTTGTCCTCTTAAACGTTGATTGTTCCCTGGTGATTTATTGACAAAACACAAAAAAGTGCTCTATACTGCACTCTAATTATATGTATGAGGCCATAAGATCTCATGGGAAATTAAATAAAATTTACAGCTTGATGGTTTTATGCTCCTGGGAGACATACCTTCTTAATAAGATCTTATAGCTGGGAATATTTATGAGGTTAAAGTCCGTAGGCTTGAGCAAAGACCTAACCTTTCCATGGGGTGGGGGAGGGGCTGCGTTTTGATTTCTTTGAAGATAAATGGTTGTAATGAAATTTCAGGGGTTTAGGAGGTAATGTTCAGTGAGACACATCAAGCATTCCTCCCTAGGACCTCTGGAGGACAAAGCTGTAAGGACACGGGGACTTACTGCACCATTTGTTTCAAATAAGGCTCCGGCTGTTCTCCCTACCACCTCTGGGGCACTGCATCCTCCAAAGCTCACTGTGGCTTCCTCCTCTGATTAGCCCCCATCACAATCTGAAGGGAGAGGGAAGACCCTAGTTAAGGGCAATTATCTAAGAGGTCAAGGAAGGGAAAGGAATTGGGGGAGGGGTGTGAAGGAGAGAAGCAGAGAGACAGAATCTGAAAGAGAATCATAGTGATGTACTTGAACCCATAAAAATCAGTTTCACATGCTCAAACAGCCCCAAAGGACTTGCTGGATATTGTGGACATTTGCTATTTTACCAGATCATTTTCTCTTTGTGACAGGGGTGGCTGGGCCTCAGGGCCTGCTCTCACAAGGATTGCAAAGTATTCTTCTGGACAAAGGATCAGAACATGTCTGGGGTGGGGGATGGAGAGAGCCTCTGCAGGTGGCTTCAAGATGAGAATTTCTTGACTGTAAATGGTGTTACAGAAGTGCACATGATAAACTGTCCCAGTGATTTAAATTACTCTCAGTGTAAGTCTGCTTGGATCCTGGTTGGGGTTTTATGCTTGGAAACAGGCCATTTCAACAAGAGCCAGGAGCTTTTCTTTATGCCCACCCCCTCCAATAGACTCTTCCTCCCCGCAATAGTTCAGAAATTAAAGAGGGAACAGGAGAGGTAGAAAGACAGATAGACAGATGGATATATGGCTATATTTGGCTCTCATTCTTTATTGTAGAATTATACTATCTATTCGAGGAAGGATAGTTAGGTAAAACTTGCAGTTAACGGTAGGTCATGAGAAATATTTTTGGGGGGAGGATTTAATGAGTATTTTTGCATATGAAGTTCTTCATGGGCCCTTCTTGGCATATGTGGGGGGTGGAGCATTGACAGAGGGCGTGGGATGAAGCTCTAGAGGGACTCAGAATAGATACTGGGCCCTGACAGTGAGATCTTAGCAGCCATCCCTTTCTCTCAGGCAGCTTATGCAGTGTTTTCCTGTGAGCTCTGATTCACCCAGAAGAGGCAGAGCACCCCACCTCTAGCACTTCTTGCCTATGCTCACGCAAACAGCAAAGGACCATTTAATTAGGATAAGCATATACGGAGTTTACCTGCGAGGGTGTTGCGCATGAGTTGAAAAGTTTCATTACTCTCCTCATTGCCAGTTAGTCATGCTCCTCGACTCCCTCTTCCAGAATAAGTGAAAAGAAAGCTAAAAGAAAGGAAAATAGACTCTGAATGTCCATGACCTAGATATGTTGGAGTCCACCTTCCATTTTCCCCCATTTGGTGCTGATGTTCAAAGCAAGGGAAAGAACATGATTTAGTGGATGGGAGGTGAGCAACTCGCTCCTAAGCCTGACCTGCTCTCTCCAGTGTGTCATTGTGGACCCTCTCCCTGGACCCCAGTTTCCTCAACTGTAAAATGAAGAGCTAAGGCTAGGTGATTTTAAAGTCCTTTTCAGCTCTAAAATATTATTTTATGGTTCTAGAATTTATGTAGGAGAACGACATTCCCTCTATCCCTTGCTTTAGCCTTTTGAATGAAAGTGAGATGTCTCATCAGTTCAGACAGAGTCAGCTCAAGCCCCATGTCTCGGATAAAAGGAGAAGAAAAAAAAAAAACTTATTAAAGATAGCTAAGTTCCCCTGATAAGCAGCAAGTGAGAAATCCCTGATTTAATTTAAATATGGTATTTCTGTCTTCATTAATTTAAAGCATGTATATGATAATGTATCCTTTTTTTATTTAGTGGTCTGTCCTGGAGGGAAAGAAAGGTTTGATTGTGAAGCACAGGGGCAAAGGTTTGGGTATTTTTTAATAAAGATGAATATCCTTAAAAATGCTTGAAGTATATGGAAGTAAGATTTGTTGCAAGTTACAAATCAAAGCCCGAAATGTCACTTATCTCCTAATGATACTTCTACACAGATTATTAATTTCATTTTAGAAGCCCAATGAATGTTATATTTTATGACATTGATTAAACATCTTGCTGCCATCTACCCATCCATCCTTTTCGTTTTCAAAAATCCATATCGGAATTTAACAAAAACAGCTCATAAATTTGTATTTTATAGCCTAGCTAAATTGACAGGTTCTCCACTCTGCTTATGATCAGGCCCATCCTGAACTCTGGGCTCGGCCCATTTCCACCCTTAGAAGTCAGACTTTTCTAAACCGCCCTCGTGTTTCATTATCAGGGCAGGATTGTGGGATTTATTTAAAAGGGCATTTGTAGCTTCTGGAGCTGTGGAGCCACAAGGGGGGCTGTTGGGTGGCAGGGTTAGCCCCTGACTGGGATTCGGGGGCTCTGCTTTCATTCGAGCTCTTAGACAAGCCAGTTACCTCCCCGCTCTGTGTCCTGGGGATAATTACAGCCTCCCCTTGTTGGCTCACAGTGTCACCGTGGGGATGAACGAGATAATAGATCTGAAAGGCCTTCCAACCCTTCAGAGAGAAGCAGTGTGGTGGTAGATGTCAGAGCCAATAAAAGAACAGACTGGGATGACAAGTTTTAGATCAACCTTAGGCATGTTAGGGAAGGTTTAGGATAACTCCTTTGAAATAAGGGAGAAAAGATTTCTGAAAATAGGTCCACTGTATTATTTATCGTATTTTTATCAATAGAAGTGCCTCTGGTTCCTTGAGACTCATTCTTGTTTCCTCAGAACCACGGTGGACTCATCTTCTGCCTGGATTGTCTCCAATCAGAGACAGTTGTGTTCGTACTTGCTGTCTTTTCTGTGCAGAGAAGGTGCTGGCACCTATCTCTCCTAGCTCTCCTTGTCAGGGTATAGCTGTGGTCAGCTTTGCCTCCACGAAGGAGACAAGCAGAGCCATATGCTGAAAAATCAGAATCAATTCAGGGTGAAAGATTAGGGGACAGCTCCCAAAGTTCAGCCACCTACTGAAGAAATAACCTGTTGAGGATGGGTGGGGGTTGGGGGTAAAGCTTGAGGATAAACAGTTTTGCAAGAATCGATAACATTAGGGGAGTAATTTATTAGATCAGAAGCTGACCTCTGTCTAGTGAACCTTACCACAAATGTGCAGGAGACTTGGAGGCTGGGGGCAAGGTTGGGATGCAGAAGGGCAGTGAGGTTAGTTTGGAGACTAGAGAGGGATCATCACTAGAAGGAACAGTCTCCCCAAGAGGACCAGTTGTTGCAACAGCACAGAGAAGTTAAGGTGGTGGGCTTAGGAGTAACACTGTGGATTTACCTCTCATCTCTCCCTGTGCGCTAATCTCTGCTTTCCTCATCAGTAGTAGTCAGGGAATTTTGTTGTGGGTGTTGGTGGGCATTTTGGTTTTATGTTTGTTTCTTTTGTTGTTCTTATGTTTTCCAAAAAAATAAATTGTAGAATGGCATCACTTCACAAACTGCATCAGACAATACCTGCAGGGCCTTTCATTGTGGACCTGGTGATACACTGGCTTGAAGTGACAGAGCATCATTAAGTGAGACTGGCTGCTGGTGACAGCCCCTCTCTGTTTGGGTCACGGGGGTAGGCATGGCTATTACTGGGAGAGGACATAGCTGCTTACTGAAGACTTCTCAGCATGCTGGGAAATGCTCCCCAGTGACATGTTTCTTCCCCTTTTTCTGACTCATTTCTTTCCCATTCCCCCTCCTTTCCTCCTCCTCACCCTCCCACCCCCCACATACTCCCCTCACCCCAGCCAGCCCTCCATTGTATGCTCCTGCACTGGGGATGTTGCATAAAGGGAAAATATGGCATGTTTACAGAGAGAATTTTCAAGAAGTGTTAATTTAATATGCTAAAGTGTTCCCTTCAGCATTTTACCTTTCTTGTTGTTTTCACAAAACAGCCAAGACTAAATAATGAGCCCAGGGCTGTGCCCTTTGGTAGCGTGATAGCTCATTACCCACTAGCGGCCTCCATCTGCCCTCATGGCTGCATAGGGAGCCATTACGATTATGATGGAAATCTCAGAAGCCATTACCAAGATGCAACAGAGGGCCTACTGCAGACAGCCTAATGGACTAATTTGTAATTGGGAGAGGGAAATGAGTTAGCGAGCTGGGGCTGGTTTTGATGAGAGTGGAAGTGCGCATGCTAAATGTGATAAATGAATAGGAATGTGTGTTTGCGCAGTGGGCTCTACAAGGCTTTCCATCTCTCCTGGGGATTGGAGGCGTGCTGACAAGCCGTGAGGAGCGAGGAGGAAAAGGCTCGGGGGACGCAAGCAAGATTCAAGGAGAGTAGCTAAGGATAAATCGGTGAGGAAAACTAATGGCAGTAAAATCCAAGGAAATGACTGCATCTGCCATGAAAGTAGTAATTAGGAAGCATTTGGTGTGCATGTCTTTAACCGTTAAAATAGGGGACGAGGAGGAGCCCTGGCGCTTGTTGTGGGAAAAGGAAGGCTGGGTGGTGATGTTCCAAGAGGGAGCCCAAATGGAGGGCTCCGATGGGACAGTGCCCTCAGACCTGATGGCCTGCACAAAACCTGCTTACTGTAAACAGGGCACATTCCTGAAACACCAGTAACACCCTCCATCCCCAGGGCTCCCCGTGACCCAAAAGTGGGAAGGCCCTGCAGACTAAGATGCAGCCCCACATGAAGGAAGGAGCCCAGGTGACAGGGATCCTCTCTCCAAGCTGAGGAGGTCTGCATGGAAGTTGACTACAGATGCTGCAGATAGGTCCAATTTTGTGAATCTGACAGATTTGTTGGCCATTTACTTCCCAGCCTTTCTACAACCCACTCGAGAAAGTGTTCCAGGTATTTCTGAGGGAGCCTTGGCCTCTGTTCCCTCTCACACTGACGTGGCCTATTGGGGGTGATCCCCCAATCTTTCTGCAACCACGTCCTGCACAAAGCTGTTCTCATTGTTATCTTGGCCAGGTATGACTTCAGTTCTTTCCCCCTAACCTCCACACCCTAGTGTCCTTCCCCTTGGTCAGACCTTCACCTCCCTAAAGCTGCAGCCCAGGCCTACTGTGACTTTCCCAGCAACCTTCCCTTTCTCTAGATGTCACTTTTCCTTGTGAGGCAGTCTGACCTAAGCCTCAGGGCTGTCCTTGCTCCCAAACACACTCATTCCTTTACCTATGAGGTCTCATTCAGCCTTGCTGAAAGGCCTGAGGGGACACATGTAGCACTTCAGGGAAGAAGGAAGCACTGGAACCAATTAATTAAGCCCCAGCCCGGGGCTTTCAGAGCACCTTCCCAAGGTGAGAGACCCAGTTAGCTGACTCCTGCCCTCAGTCCCGCTTCTATCCCAAGGGCTCCCTTTTTCCATAACATTCTCAAGCATATAGGAGAACTTCCCATTTTCTTCACCAACCACCAGAAGAGAATTGTAATTAACTCCCTAATGGGATGAAGACAGTCCTGTTCAGCAAAATTTTATTGACAAGCCGCTTGATTGATTACATGATTGATTGATCCCACCTCCTTTGAAAATAAATTTGAGGAAACCAACAAAAAATAGACACATTGAGACCCAAAACAACTCAATCTGGGAAAAAGCAATCCATCACTAAAAGAGGCTAAGAAACATTATCAAGTATTATAAGGTAAAGGAAGTTATTGAAAAAACACAGATGTAGTTCTGAGTTTCCTAGCAGTCATGGAATGGGCAACTGGCCATTGGTTACTAGGAGAATGTCATTATTTCATTAGAAAAAACCCGACTTTTTCCCATCTAGTGTCTCCTCTTAAGAAGACCATTCTTTACACTGTTTGTGTCCCTTAAACCAACAGCTCTATCCTGCATTTCCATCAATATTAGATGAATATTGAGATGTTTAGAGCTCTGTATAGAGCTGTTGTTTGGAACTCCTTTAGTTAAAGCCCCCAATATTGTCAGTCCTGGACAAAACCCCAGAAATATTATAAAATTTAGGTGCCTGTATGCCCTCACTCCTATTTAGGTGATGCAGACCTACACTTGGCTAGTTCAGTTACACAGACAATAACAGAGTTTATAAAATAGATGAAAAGTCATTAACCCATTTGAGAAATAATTTAATGGGTACTTGATATGGGACAAACGCTGAACTAATCACTGTAGATACACATTAGATAAGTGGGCATGGTTGCTGTCCTTGTGAAGCTTGTGCTCTAGTAGACTTCTGACCCAAAGAAGGAATGATTCCCAGGTGAGGGCCAAGAGCAAGAGATGGGGAGGGTTGAGGAAGCGGGGAGAGTGTTTGAGCTGGTCTGTGAAGTTAGAAAG